CAGCAGGTGATTCCATGAAGCTGGGGCAGTGCAGCTCTGTCTCGGGCTTCGGGGAGCCAGCCGCTGGTCAATTTCAGCAGCGGCTGAATCCGGGACAGCTGGGGTGCTGCTGGGTTGGTCCCGCAGCCCCGAGGGGCAGTGCTACTGGACCTACCCGGCAGCACTCCAGCTGTTCTGCCCCCTGCTTCTCGGATTCAGCGCTGGTCAGTTTTAGCAGCGGCTGAATTGGGGAAGCTGGGGGCAGAGCAGCCCCAATGGTCCGGCTGCCCGGAGCACTTCCAGGTTCCTGATGGTGCCGGACCGTCAGATGCCGGACCATCGGAGTTTTACTGTATATGCTTTAATTTATGTCCAGAGCCTCAGAGGTCAATGTGGAAATTTTATCATGGACTTCAGTGGATTTTGAAACCGGCCCTGTACTTATGCTTTGCACTTTTTTCTTTTTCTGAGTGCAACTCCTAATTTAACATGGAACATGGCACGCCTTCCTATATTGGCTATACATGGATACGAGTGCCCACTAATCACTTATCAACATATAAGTAAGCATACCATGAAAGAAGAATGACAATACTAGAAAGGGCTTGACAGCATAGTAGAAGCTGATCAATCATTCTTATCCAATAGGGAACTAGAGGGGACTTTTGTTAATAGAGATTTGTAAAGAACAAATCATAAAACCAGTCTGATAATTTCTTTGACAGGATAACAAGTCTTGTAGATAAGGAGGAAGCAGTAGACGTGAGATACCTAGACTTTAGTAAAACATTTGATACAGTCTCATATGAGCTTCTTATCAATAAACTAGAGAAATACAACCTAGATGGGGCTATTATAAGGTGGGTGCGTAACTGGCTGGATAACTGTTCTCAAGGAGTAGTATCAAATAGTTCACAGTCATGCTGGAAGGCCATAACAAGTGGGGTCCCTTGGGTCAGCTTTGGGACCAGTTCTGTTCAATATCTTTATCAGTGATTTAGATGATGGCATAGAGAGTATTCTTATAAAGTTTGCAGATGGTACCACTCTGGGAGGGGTTGCAAGTGCTTTGGAGGTTAGGGTCATAATTCAAAATGATCTGGACAAACAGCTTTCAAGTACCAAAAAAGGTATTACAAGGAGGCGGGAAAAGATAGTTCTCCTTGGCCTCTGATGATAGGACAAGAAGCAATGGGCTTAAATTTCAGCAAAGGAAGTTTAGGTTGGACATTAGGAAAAACTTCCTAACTGTCAAGGTGGTTAAACACAGGAACAAATTGCCTAGGGAAGTTGTGGAATCTTCATCATTGGAAATATTTAAGAGCTGGCTAGATAAACATCTATTAGGGATGAACTAGATGATGCTTGGTCCTGCTGTGAGGGCAGGGAACTGGACTTGATGATCTCTCAAGGTCCCTTCCAGTTCTTGTATTCTATGATCATTAGAGTCTGCTAACAGGCCATTTCCACTGCCCGCCATACTGATCTACTCTGTCTATTGACTTACCTTGGTTGCCAAGTGAGCTGTGTCTTACCTGTGCCTCTGACTCACAAATGGCTCCATGTTTTTGAGCACTTCTCAGAAGGTATCGTGCATGATCAGACTTAAACATGGAATAAAGAGAAGGGTCTCATTTAGAACTATTTCATGCAATGTATTATCCATTGGGGGTATGTCTACGCTACAGAGGGTTTTTTTGTTTTGTTTTGTTTTTTGGAAAAACAGCCATTTTTTCCGAAAAAGCTTCACTTACGTCTACACTGAAATCACGCTCTTTCGGAAAAAAATCAAAAGAACAGGGCGGGGGTTTCCAACATTAGTAAACCTCTTTCTACAAGGAAGCCCTTTTCTGAAAGAGCTCTTTTGGAAAAAGTCATGTGGGTATGGGGAAGAGGGAGTTCTTTTGAAAGAAGAGGAAAGAGCACAGGTGCTCTGGTGGCCACTCTGTCCATAGTAATCACAGCTTAAATGCAAGATCGCATCCACACTGAAGGGATGCTATCTTTCAAAAAAGCAGATCGCTTTTTCGATGCACTTTGGCAGTGTAGATGTTCTCTTTAGGAAGAAGTTTTTTTTGGAAGATCTCTTCCGGAAAAGCTTCTTCTGAAAGAAGTCTGCAGTCTAGATATAGCCTTTTGTCTCTCAGATGAAAAAGTTTCAAGGACAGTGTAGGGAGCTGGCTGAATTAAGCACTTCCAGATGGTTGCCTGCTTCCCAGAAGTGAAAGTTATGGGCATTATCGTTCTGACTTCTCTGTGACCATTCTTATCATTTGCAATTGTTTACTTATAGTGGCTTATCCTGCAGGTTTGTAGGCCCTGGTTTTACAGGATAGTACATTTAAGTTATCTACCAAGTCACAAAAAGCATGTAAACATTAACAATTTTTTCATGGTTTTTTTTGTTTGTTTGTTTGTTTCAGGAATGGTGATAAGTATGAAGGAGACTGGATCCAGGACCAGCGACAAGGTCATGGTGTACTACACTGTGCCAATGGAACTGTATATGAGGTATATAATGAGGACATACGAGAAGTAGTAATGCTATAACTAGGAAAGTACAAAGGAGAATTTTACATTGTGCTTCAAATGAATAGTCCAGAAACTACATGACTAGAGCTAGGCATGCTGTTCATAGCAATCCGTTCATGTGACAAATTTAGCTCCTATTTCTGATCGTGAATTATCTAATAGTGAGACTATCATTTTCAAGTTATTTGATATTGTTCTACTATTTTTATTTAAATACACTTCAGCCATATTTTATTTGGGAATTATTCCTTATGACTATTGCAATGTTTGCAAATCTTTGTTTGCTCTGTATGGCTGGCCCTTAAAGACAGTATTACTTCTGCTGCCTGGTTGCACACCTGAAAATGTTATAAACAGGGTGAGTAACCGAATAATTCTCTTTTGTTGTGAAAATTCATGTAAACATATCATGACATTTTGTCTTCACAGCCATTGAGCATATGAATATCCACAGAAAACAGATAAAGTCATAGTTAACATAGTGACACATAAGGAATTATAAGATGCCACCCATGAACAGTGTTAATACAGTGTTGTTTTAGAATGGGCCTGATTCTTCATTGCTAGCACTCAAAGTGTGTGTTGAATGCTTACCACCTGATACTTCTTTGCTCAAATATGCCCGGTAATATTTTCCCTGACTTTGCAGAAGTGCAAATGGTTATACACAATTCAAGACAGTGGAGAATCAGGTTCTCTATATTTATACGCCAATCATTAGTATGTATATTGCAGGAATTAAAAAACCAAAGGAACCGAGTCACTTCTTTGATTCATTTCAAATATGATATTGGTAAGGTCAAGTGGTTGCAATGCTGTGGATTCTGTCCTTATGGAGTGTAGCATGAATTGCAAAGGCCCGACAGATTGCATGCCAAATGTTTCACTGTCTGCTAAACCAAAGAAGGAGAAGATGGAAGAAGAATCAAATCTGGCACCAAATTCAGCTATGGGGTCCATTTGTTTCTCTTACTTGTATGACACTACTAATTTTAGTGGAATTACTCCTTTTTTCAATAGTGTAGATGAGAACAGAATCAGGCCCCAGTGTACAAATGCAGTTTATACCAAGATTACAGCAGGGCAGAATTAAGTCTTGTCTCGTCTGACTCTGTCCCCAATATATACATGACTTTCCATTAGAATCTGATGGATTTGTTTATAATATAAATGACAACCTGGTAACAAATGTTGATTAAAAGAAATTAAAAGATGCCCAGGTCATCTCTTTTTATAATAACAGATATTCAGTTGCTTATGAAGTCAATATTCCAACATAGAAAGGTATTTTTCCAGTGTAAATGAAGCAGTAAGATATGGCAGGTTGTGAATTATTTTGTAATAACTCACAAATAGGTGCATTGTCAGGAGGAAGCTGAAGACCAAGTGCTATCATATCATGTATAGATGTGTATTATTATACAATAAATCAGGGATAGAGTTTTGTTATTGCAATTATAGGATGTCTGGAGGCTAAAAAAAGTCTCCAATTTTAATTTTGAGCTGTTGAGAATCTGAACCAGGACAATTTTATGTGTATATGTGATTTAGAACCTTTATTTGTTTAAAAAAAATCACTTTCCTGAAACTGGGTTTACATGGCCAGTGTCTGGAGAGACAAGGCTGTACTCTAGCATTGTCTTAGGCTTCAAAGTGTTTTCATTAACCTCTCTTTATATACGTATATATTTCAGAATACGTCGGTCTGTGAGTCTGTCTGTCTGTGCATCTGTGAGTCTGTTTGTTCAAGAATTCCTCCTGAACCAGGGGTGGGCAAGAGGCAGCTAGTGGGTCGGATCTGGACCGCCAAGCCGCTGGATACAGCCTGTGTCCACCTTGCCAGCACCCTTACTACATAGCACATCACAATGCTGACTGCTAATTACTCTGGGTGATGGCGAGGGACAGGGAGGCTTTCTATGGGCCAGTTTCTGGCAAATAGAAGCTGAGAAATGTTGCTGAAGTCAGGGGCAGCAAATGAAGCCTCTTTCCTCCCACTCTCCCTGTGCTGGAGCAGAGACATGTGGAGCAGCCCCTCCCAGCCTCGCCCTCACCCTAGGCAGCCTTCAGGCTGTAGGAGAGCTGTTGAAGGCCAGGGGCAGCCCCTGGAGCCTGACTCCTCGAACAGCCTGCAGGCTTGGGGGTAGCTGGAGGGCAGGATTGGCCTGCAGAGCCCCAACCCCAACCCGAGAAGCACGCAGAAGCAGATTCCCCTCACCTCCCAGGAGGAACTGCTGGCCTCTCTGGAGGAGCTGCTGGCTGGGGATCACTGCCATAGCCCCCTGAGAGAAGCTGCCCTGGTAAGCCCCCTGCCCTGAGTCCTGCTCTGAGGCCACCACCACCTGCCTTGAGCCCTGCCATTTCCCAACCCTCTGCCCTAAGCCTCCCACCCCTTGCTTCTCCTTACCCCCGAACCCTCACTCCAGCCTTCATTTTCACAAATTGCAATCATTGAAATAAAGCATGTACATTTTTCATTTATTTTTCAAAAAACAAAAAATTACTTCAGTTAAAGACCCAAGCAATCCTGGCTGTATATGCTAGTTTAAAATAAAAGCGGTATTTTTTTCTTTGCTACTGTATCATTTCATAGGAATAATTGAGATATAGTATTGTTTAGCTACTTTTCCTACTTGGGGGGGAATCTGTGGACATTTCTATCACTCTGTTTTACAGCTCAGTTATATAATGTTTCGTGTCTAAACACAATTCCAAAGCAAATGTCCAAAAGCAAGCTCTGTTTTCATTTTCTGACTCTCTCTCTAATTGACTTTGGGCCTGATACAAATCCCATTGCAGTCATTAGGAAGATTCCCACTGAATAGAGCCTTTTTCTAAAGAAATTTGACAAAAATGAACATGCAGATACAACGTGACCACAACAGCATTAAGCAATCTGGCTATCCATCACAATGCATAGTCTGTGGTGTCTTGTTTCTCAGGAAGTACGGGAATGCCATTAATAGGAGGAGAAATTTCTGCCTGTCTGTAAACATGTCTGCTACATTCACATTCTCCAAAGTACAACCGGGGTTAATTTTAAGAGATATGACAAAAATTTCCTCTTTTCCCTCCTAGAAGAAAGGCTTTTTTAAATTTTTGGCAAAGATCTCTGGTTTATTTTTATTTTATTTTTTTTTTAAACTTCAAAGAACTCTACTGCTACCCTTACACTAATGATACCTGTAGAAGTTAACTTTTTTTGGGGGGGAGGGCGGAGGAACCAGACTAGCACATGGGAAGAATACTTACACTATACTATACTAGGGAAGTTACATATCAGTTACTTAAATAGTCAAGTAACCTCATGAAATTTTATCAATTAGTCCACTATTCTATAGTTCCCTGGGGGTGGAGCTGGCAGCCACAGTACCAAAGGCAGCAGCATGGGGTGCCAGGTGGGAGCTGATCTGCAAGGGGAGCCAGTTTAAAAACCAGCTCCCCTTGAAGACCAGCTTCCTGTCACCCTGTGCTGCTGCTTCTGAGAAAGAGGCAGCAGTGCAGGGTGGCAGTAGTCCCTGTCTATTTGGCAGGGCCTGAGTTCCTGAGCCTGGCGCAAGCCAGAATTGATCCAGGCTGCTGTCCAGCCTGCTAAAAAATTTACTGGCAGGGAGAGGGAAATGTGTGTAGTCTATAGCATTAACCTATAGGCTTTTGCTTATTGGTTAATTGACTATACTATACTATACTATATTTTTAATATGGTGGCATATTAGTACCTATTCACTGTCTCATATGTGTGCATGACATTTTTGATAAATTGAGTTGGATCGTGTCTTATTTTGCACCACTAGGTGGCTCTCTAACATTTGTATACAGATTTATTTATTAAACTCCCCAAATTTTGATCAGGTTACATTAGTTGCTCTGCATGGCTGTAAATATTTAGTATTGTACTTAAATGTACAATGGATATGTACTTAAAGCCAGAAAAATTGATAGGAAAAATCTTACAGTTCTATCAACAATACTTTGCTGATTAATTCAGCATTTTAGTTGATTCAAGCAAGTTTATGAAATGAGTAGATCAAAACAAACATCCCAATATTGCTATTAGTATCCATCCAACACACTACTTTAAAGAGTTTATAAATATTCTGGTATAAAATAATAAAAGCTAAGGAACTTAATTTTACTATCAGGCTATGTCTACACTGCAGGCTTTTTGCGCAAGAACTGTTTTGCGCAAGAGTTCTTGTGCGAAAGGTCTTGTGCAAGAGCGTGTTCACACTGCCATGTGCTTTTGCGCAAGAGATGTGCTTTTGCACAAGAGCGTCCATGGCAGTGTGGACGCTCTCTTGCTCAAGAAAGCTCTGAAGGCCATTTTAGCCCATCCACGCTGCCTTCTTGTGCAAGAGGGCTTATTCCTTGTGGGGAGAGGAATAACTCTTGCGCAAGAAGCCCTCTGTTCTGACGCTTTACTGTAAACTTACTTGCACAAGAATGCGTGTGCAGTGTAGACACTCCACAAGTTTTTGCGCATGAACGGCTGTGCTTGCGCAAAAAGTCTGCAGTGTAGACATAGCCTCAGAGTTTAACTTCTACAGTTAATCTATAACATATTGTCTTATCATTTGGAATGAGCTGATCAGTCTTCTAGAATCTTTGTCCAAGTCATCCTTGTGATCTAGACGTGACAGCACAATCAGATGGTCAAATCTTTTCACACTCGCAAGTTGAAGTTCTTTCCACATGCTGCACCTAAAGCTTCATTCGTATACAGGATAGCAAAATAAATGTGTCCCTGTCTGCTCCTGGCATTTAGTGTGAGATCCATGACAGATTTAAGCATTGCAATACTGTTGCTTAACTTTTAGGTGCCTAGCAAAATCACAAGAACAACACTGCAATCCACAAAGACTAAATTAGGGACCTATACTCCCTATATAATGAATGGAGAGATAGCTACCAGAGCTCTGGTCTACACTAGGGTGTTATTTCAAAATAATTCTCCTTATTTAAAATTACATGTGGAGCAC